CAGATGCATTACTCGTTATCAGCTGGGAAGCTGGTTCATCCGTGCAGCGAACACTTCAGCCCATCTGATCGGTGGCCTCCCTCGAGGTTTTGCTTCGTTATGATTCCATTCCAGATTTCTTAGTGTCCATCTGTCCTCTATCCTTCTCATTATATGACCAGCCCGCCGATGTTTTGCCCTAGAAACGTATGCTCCTTGATCGCGAAGACGAGACATTGACTCATATCTGAAGTGGGAAGTCCGACGAGATGTAGAGGTGGGCTCGGAGCTATGGGTCCGTCAGCTGGTCTGTGACTTCCTTTAGGGGCCCGAAGGCGGCTTAAGCTGCTCTGTGCCTCCTTTTTGGTTTTTCTTTCAGATCGTTCTCCATGTTCATCGAACGCCCGAGTTATGCGTAGGAAGACGTCTCCGCAGTTGGAGAGCCTTCTAATTTCATTCTCTGATCCTCGAAAAGGATTCTTCATGAATGAGTCGGTCGATTCGCGTCCTATCCGCCTCCCCACTTCGTTTAGTTCTTTCAATATTGTCTCCGCTCCAGTGATATTCCTCGAGAAGAGAACAATATCGTCCGCTAAACGAAGGTTTGAGAGGAATCTCCCATCAACTCGTGTGCCTCTCCCGTTCCAATTCAGTGATTTCATCATTCACTGCAAGGCGGCGGTAAACAGCTTTGGCGACACGGTGTCGCCTTGTCAAACCTCCTTTGAAATTGGTATGTATAGGGGGAGGGAAGCGATGGAAAAGCTGCACCGTTGTAGAGAATTCTTGTAGCAGCCGGCCAAAGTCCTCACGTAAGATGGGTCCACCCCTCCGTCAACAAGCAGCTGACAAAACAGTGGCATTAGTCTCGACGGTGTCAAACGCTTTCTCATATTGACGAAAGTTAGAACGGGAAGTAGGCGATGCTCTCGGCAAACCTCGATAGTCCTCGAAACCGTCTGGATGTATCCACGCAGCTGAATCCTAAACGAAATTGCTTGTTCTATAGGTTGGGCTTCATCCAGTGTCCTTGATATGCGTGCGAGAATAATCTTCGTAAAAAGCTTGCAAAGCGCGCTCAGCAGGCATATTGGATAGTTCCGAAGATCTTCCCTATCGCCCTTCTTACGAGGCAAGATTGTTCGGAAGGTTCTCCACTGGTCGGACATCCTTTTCTTTTGAAAGTAAGACGTTAGATTTCCGCAAGTATCTCGTTCAGGCGATGCCCTCCAGCTCGTAAAAGCTCGTCCGGTCCCGAAGCCGTGGCTTCATTTATGGTCTGGATTACGGCGAGTATTTCAGCAGATAGAATCCGTAGCGGTATATCTCCAGTGAGGATAACGGGGTTTAACGCGGAAGTTGATGAGTTGAAGAGATTGGTATAGAATCTTTTCATGT